GTCGTCCAGTCGTCGTCGTCGTCCAGACGTCGTCGACCAGTCGTCGTCGTCCAGTCGTCGTCGGCGTCGTCGGATTGAGGCCCTCTGGATCAATTTCGCGCCGTGCGCTGGTTTTTGCAGGTCCCGGGGCCCGTGCAGCGCTTCTGGGGGTCCGACGTTGGAAAGCTCAGCGCTTTTTCGATCCGCGGACCCGCCGCCTGGGCTTCTGGCAGCTGCTGCCCGCCGGCGCATCCCCTTCGCTTGCCGCCGCCGGCTCCGCTGCCATCCCCCCCCGGCCGGCGCCCCGTTTCTCTTGCCGCTGGCTCCTCGCGCTCCCCCGCTTGCCGGGCCCCGTCCGCACTGCGGCTGCCGGTCCCGACCCCTGGGTGTTCGGTATCGGTTCGCCGATCCCATCCCCATCCCCATCCCCATCCCCTTCGAGACCCCCACTGAAGTACCACCCCAGTTGGGGATACACACCCCTCGAAATCCGAAGGGAACGGCCTACATCCCCATCTGGGGGTGAATCGGCCAGTGGGGCCCAGGCCACGCCGCTGGGGATGGGGATCGGTCAAACGATACTCATCCCTCTTTTTGTCCTCCCCTCCTGCATGCGGGCTAAGTCGCGTTGCTGTGCCCCGGCCTCGCTCCGTCGCGCGTGCGGATCGTGCTTGCCGCGCCGCGACGCAGAAGCTCCGATCCGCGGGAGGTCCGGTTCTTGCTCCTCTCTGTGCTGCCGTGGGCTGCCCCTTCTCGCAGTCCGCTCCCGTGTCTGCCGCTCCGTATCCTATCTTTAGCGCCAGTGACCCCGCCTGAGTTCACGCATTTGCTCTGGCGGCGGAAGTCGAGGCCAGGTGGGGGCGGAGGAGGAGGACCAGTGCAAGCCCAAGGTGCCTCATCGATGTTGGCCCCCCAAAAGTGTATTGTCATCGCAGTATAAGACAATTTTCGGATAAATTTCAATCAAGTCAACCCAGCGTTCCTTGGACTTCAGCGCTTCGGATCAACGTGACCGTTGGTTGCGTCCTGACAATCCTAAATTTTCAACTCCGCGAATCCAGGTGGATGTCGCGTCCTGACAATCCGAAATCGTACCAGGGACTTAGACCATTCGATGTTTTGAAAGCAGTTGCAAACTTTGAAAACGAATAGCCGCGGCGCTCAGGCGAGAGCCACATGTTTGAAAACCGCCCGCCATTCATCTTTGAATTGCTTTCTGTTTCAGGCGTGTGTGCGCGGCGCTGAGGCGAGAGCCGCAGTTTGAAAAAAAACGCCCTCCATCCGTGAACATGTTGCAAATTGTTAAGGTGAATGCGCGCGGCGCTAAGAGATCAACGTTTTGAAAACCACCCGCCTTTCATCTGTCAATTTGTTACAAGCCCAACTTCCAGGATCATACATGGCGAGGAAGTCTCATGCGAAACACCCTCCCCGCCCTACCAGCACGACCGTCTGGGGGTGCGACAGGGAGGAGTTCAATCTTCGGGGAACGGTTGGAGGAGGAGGAGGAGGTGCAATAAGAGGAGGAGGAGGAAGAGGAGGAGGATAATGAGAAGGAGGAGGAGGAGGAGGAAGAGGAGGAGGGGTGGATGGATGGATGGATGGATGGATGGACAGCGCCTTGGAAAGGTCGTGAAGCGACAGTACCAACACGTGGGGGAGATCGACCAGAGTCAAATCGCCCCTGATGCTTTAGCGGCCTCTCCTTTGGCTTTAATTCTGGCGACCAGGTCCGTCATCTTCTGCTTATGCGCGGGCGGGGGCTGAGGGAGAGTCCGAGAAAGCCCGCGGTGCAGAGATAAGGTCACATCAGGCTTACCAGAGTAAAGCTAAACACTGAGTCGCTCCACAGGCAACGCCTTATCAAGCAACTCTCAGACACGCATATTGGGCCCAAGCCCTCTTCGAACCCTGCTCAGGGCATGAAGTCCCTTGCGCTTTGGCTTCGTGCAGACCTAGGCGAGCTCAGCGGCTCTGCCTTGGCTCCAGCCCCCCTCACCTTGAACACAGAACCTGCTGCTCACGACACAGGTCCGCGCTGGCCCCACGACCCCTCGGAGCTTGAAGAGCCGAACCCGACGCGGCCGAGAGGAGGTGGCCACGGGTTCTCGCTCTTCCTCCTCCTCCTCCTCGTCCTCGTCCTCGTCCTCCTCCTCCTCCTCCTCCCTCCTCCTCCTCCTCCCCTCCTCCTCCTCCTCCTCCTCCTCCTCCTCCTCCTCCTCCTCCTCCTCCTCCTCCTCCTCCCTCCTCCTCCTCCTCCTCCTCCTCCTCTTCTCCTCCTCCTCCTTCTCCTCCTCCTCCTCCTCCTCCTCCGCCTCCTCCTCCTCCTCCTCCTCCTCCTCCTCCCTGGCCTCGTCGTCGCCGCCCTCTTCGTGGCCCCCAGACCTCATCCTCATGCCCTCCTCCTCGTCCCATCCTCCTTCCGGCCTCCCTCCGGGAGGCCGGGAGGCCCCGCTGCTGCCTCCCGCGGCGCCGCTCCCGCGCGCAGCCGCACCTGCACATCGGCATGATGGCGGGCGCGGTCGGCGGCTCTGCGCCCCTCCTGCGCAGGGGGGGGGAGGGAGGGAGGGAGAGCGGGAGGAGGGAGGGCGGGAGGGAAGGGGGGAGAGACGGAGGGAGGGAGGGACGCAGGGACCGAGGGAGAGGGAGGAGGAAGCAGGATGAAGGGCGGAGGGCGGGGCGAGGCCGGGAGGGACGGAGGGGGGAGGGGCCCCAGGGTAGGCCGCAACAGGAGATTGGCCTTGGAACTAGATCTGGTGGCTTCTATGGACATGCGCTCAGGGCCAGGGGCCAGTGGGGGTGCCATCCCCGCGACCGGCGGGGGGGGGGAAGATGAGCGAGGCAGAGGTTCGGGGGTTGCGAAAGGTTCCCCTGGCCCAAGGTCCCCCCCCGGCTTTGCGCTCCATTCTGGAGGCCTTGGGGGCCTCCTTGGAAATCCGTGGGGCACCTCGGGCCAGGTGCACTTGTAGCAACACCTGAGAGGGAGGAGGAGGAGTAGTAGTAGTAGTAGGAGGAGGAGGAGGAGGAGGAGGAGGAGGAGGAGGAGGAGGAGGAGGAGGAGGAGGAGGGGGACCAGAGTAGACACCATGTACAGCAGCGATGCTGCAATGCACCCTTCCGACCCGAGTCCCCTCCTCCTGCGTCCTTGCAAGTTTTCCTTGTCACTGCAGGAGGGGCCCCCTGAGCGCTGTGTCCGTTGATACCACTCTTTCGAAAACAGGCCGCCGCCGAGGTAGTAGCAATCGACATTCTATATTGAAGAGGAGCCGCCTTCAACTCGTGCAAAGTTACATGTCAATGTTACATGTTGAAGTTCCGGATTTTTCAAGCTATGCGATATTCCCGTGATGAGAAAGAACCGTCGTCCATCTTTGAAGATGTCAAAGTTTTTGCGACGATTGCGCGCTGCACCGAGGCGAGAGCCGCATTTTGAAAACGAGCCGCCTTCCGTCCTGGAGCGGGGCGGCGGCCCCGGCGATCGAGACGGAGAAGGAGGCGGGGATCAAGAAGACGGAGACGGCATCCGCAGTCGCGGGGAGGGCCATCGCAGCCCGCCGCGCTCAGGAGCGCCAGCGCCCGCGCTGTCAGCTGCAGAGGGGTATCGCGAGGAACGGGCCGATAAAAGGTGAAGCCTCGCGGGTGGCGCCGCCGAACGCATGCGACCCCGGAGGCGTGGGCGACGTCCAGTGCGAACGGGCGCGATGGCTCGGTCTCGGGAGCCGCCATCTCAGGGGCCATCGGCGTCAGGCTATTTGGGCGGGTTCCCGCTCGGCGGGGTCGGCTCTGTTCGGGCCCGCGCGGTCGCCGGCGACCTTCGGTCTTTTGGCGATGGTCGAGGCCCGCGCCTGCGAGGACTCGAACTCGTGTCAGGTGCGCGACGAGGAAGGCTGCCACTGCGAGCGGCTCGTCCTGTTCAGCGACTACGACCTCAGCAGGCCGCAGGGCTACCACAAGGCGATGTCCTTACTCGGCGAGGAGCGCCTGGAGATCTTCGCCAGTCCCCCCCCCCCGCAGGCCGCGGTCGATCACGCAGAACATCAACCAGCGCAACGAGCAGCAGAAAGATAACCTGCGCAAGAAGCGAGTCCATCGAGCACCAGGTGCTCAACTTGCGCGGCTCGGCCCCTGCAGAACAACCTCGCAGCGGCCGTTCGTGGCAGAGCTTGCTGGGGGGATCTCCACAGTGGGTTAATTACCATGCGAGGTGGTCGTCGTGGATGGTTGCGCGCGTGGATTCAGAGCTCTAGACGCAGAACCCCAACTATTTCGGGGGCGACGTTGTGCGCTGCTACTGTCTGGCCGCAACCCAGCAGCCGCCCGCTCAGCCGACGACTCCGCGGGGCGGAAGGGGAAGCCACGAACTCACCGAAAAGATTATCCAGAAGTTTGGGAGCTACGTCAGGCTGGTCCACGCCAACCTTGGACGAGCGCCTCGGATTCCTCTGCGGCGATATCTTCAAGATCGAGGCGCGCGCCCAGGGGTGATGCGGTTGGCTCGAAACTTCAAGTGCGACATCTGCGATGCTCGCCGACCTCCAACGAAGCGGCTCCTGCGCCATCTGCCGAGCAGTCTCTGAGTGGCCGCGAAGTGCTCTTTGACGCCTCCTCGTGGATCCGACGCGGCACTGACAAAAGGCGCGATGGCCCGGGTAATCCTCGACGCAGGCTCCGACATGCTCTATGTGGGGCTGATCGACGAGGCGGAGATTCTGGGGCAGACTCGACAGGTTCGCGTGGGAGGCCCGCGACGTATTTTCGCTTGCGAAATGGTTTCCATGGATGTGGCGCCCAAAGGTCATGCGCTACGGTCCTGCCGGGAGTGCCGTGCCCGACGAGTTCGGAGAGTGGGTCGAGGGCCTCGGCGTCTACTGTCTGCCCTGCGCCGTTCTCGCCCGCTGGCAGATCGGCAAGGTCTGGGGGTGCAGCCGAGGTTTTCAAGGAGGCCCTCGGTGCTTTCAAAATGCCGACTACCGAGATGATAGGCTGCGAGGAACGACCTGATCAGGATCGAAGATTTGCCCGCTCCAACGGCGCGCAGGGCGGGGGCCGACTGGCAACGCCGTCAACCTGTCCGACGAGCCACCCAGCCTACCTCTCATCGGCGCGGAGCTGCGGGGTGGCACCTTCAGCAGAGACGCCCTGGTACGATGACTGTCGAGGCTAGCGCGCGTCCAGACGGATCACTCCGACCGCGTCGAGCGCGCCGAGGCGGCGAGGTTCAGATCTTTCGAGGAGTACGAGACAGGTGACCTGGTCTTCGCATGCAGGCGGCTCCCACCTGGGGCCCGGCGGAAGGAGGGGCAGCCTCGCTCCGTGCCAGGGCGAATTCGTCGGTGCGGACCTGGGCGAGTGCTGCGTCGCGAGCCCGCGAGCTCTGGACGTCGACCTGGTTTGCCCGGGACAGTCGTCAACGTCGCGTTGGCTTGTCGCCTCTACCGAGTTGCTCCTGCGCTCGCGTCGCGAGCAGCTCGACGCCGCCGAGGTGATCGAGCTTTCCAACGAGTCCCCGCCGACAGGCGAGGGCCTTGCACCTTGCAGCGGGCGATGGTGAGTCGGTCAGCGCCCGCGCCTTCAGGCAATCCGAGCGGGCCCTGGGCCATTCACGAGGACGACGATCGACCGGTTCCCCAGGGGGGGCCTCAGAGCCTCGGACCAGGAGGCGGCGGAGGCGGTGGATGACCCTTGGCCCCGCCTGGATTTGAATGACCCCCTTCTACCTGGACCGAGGTGCGACGCAGGGGTGAATCATTTCAGGGGGCCTTCTCCCACTACCTGCAGGAGGGGGCTTCTACGGTGACAACGCGCGCAGCGTCCAGCAGTGAGACAAGGCCACGGAGGACGACGAGCTCATCGCGCTGAACGTCCCCAGTGTCAGCGAGCACGCGCTCATGGCCTACATGGGCGACCCCAGTAACTGCGCGGCATCTCGGGCCCGCGAGGGCCGAGCGGGGGTCTCCTTCGAGAAGGCGACTTGCGGACGAGGAGAAGCTCCTACTCGAGGCCCAGCAGAACGAGCGCCCATCCGTTTTCAGCGCAAAGGCGGTCAGGATCCTGAGCGGACAATGGATCGACCCGGCGCGCTTGCCGCTTCGTGCTGTTCTGGGGGAAGGGCGAGCAAGGCCGCGTTTTCCGAGGCAAGGCCCGTCTGGTCGTGCTCGGCTTTAGCGGCCCCGACTTGCCCCGCCTACGGGCAGAGCTCGCCTCGCGACGGGCGCGTCAGCTTCTACTGGCCATGGCAGCTAGTTGCAAGTGGGAGCTAGGGGGGGCGGACGGCGCGACAGCCATTCCTCAGGGAGACCAACGAGGAGGAGAGGAAGATCTGTGCGGACTCTCCGAAGGACCGTTTTGCGAGCGACAACCAAGTCCTACAGTTTTTTAAGCCGATTTGCGGCTTCGTCCATGCTCTTCGCAAGTGGTGGCTTCACTGCAAGGAAGCGCTCAAGAAGCTCGAGCTGTCCAGTGCGAGCCCTGCGCTTGGGTCATCCACGGCGGCCTCGAGCTGGTCGGCAATTGCGCGTTGACGATATGATGATCGCCAATGGCCGCGCGAACCCGGCCTTCCTCATGCAGCGTGCCGACATCCAGAAGGCTTTCGAGTGGGCGCCCTGGGAGAGCCGAGCCTTCGCCCAGTGCGGCATTAGAGTCAGACAGAATGGCGATTTTACCTGCGGCCTCGCCCAGGACCACATCAGCCTCGGCGTGGGGTCCATCAAGATGCGACGTGGCCGAAAACCGACAGAGGGAGTTTCGGACGGGGCGCGATCGGACCCGCGAGGCCGACTTGGGATAGTAGATGGCGCGCGCAGCAGCCGGCCCCGTGGCTCAGTTCAGGAGCATCATAATCCCAGGCCGAGATTCCGACGGCCACGGTCTCGACCACCCAGAAGATCAATAAGCTCACTCCCGACAGGAGCAACGCTGCCGACGTGGTCATGTTCGTCCCAGCCACGGACCAGATCGCCGTAGCAGGGGCGATGCGGCCTGGGAAGCCAGAGTGACCGGCGAGTCCAAGGGCGGAGAGATCACGGCGCTGGCCCCGCTGTCATTCGTCAGCGGTTTGAAGGAGACAGTGGCGCCTATATCCTGGAGATCCTGTAAGTTGCTTCGCGTTGCCAGAAGCGGTGCTGCGGAAGTCCAGATGGTTACAGAGATTTTAGACGATCCCTTACTTGCGACTTTTCATGTGCGAGCTGGAGCGCGGACCAGTGGACTACGCCTCGCAGCAGCGCGTGAACGACGCCATCTCAGCCCGCCCTGGCGTCCTAGTCACAGACGGGAAGTCGGGATGCGACGCGATCGAGAAGGTCGAATCGGCTGGTCTTGTCCTGGGCGACAAGCGGACGAGTACCGAGTGTTTTGGTATCCGACAGCGGAGGGATCAGACGGCCCACCAGATGCGTTGGGCACGCAGCGATGCTGTGCTGGCCGACGGCCCGACCAAAGATCGTGCTGCCAATGTCTCACTGGAGTTCTTCAGATCAGGACAACTCTGGATATTGGTGGATGATCCTCTCCATCGCA